CTTGATGGTTAAATATCTGGTGACTTCAGGAGAATTGAACAGATCTTGTAGTTTATCGGCGGATGACAGATAAGTAGACGCATTGTCGGAGATCAACACGGATGGCAACGAGCGTCGTGCGGAGAATCGTCGAAATGCGTGTAAAAAAGTTGCAGCAGATAAATCAGACACGACTTCTGGTAACAGCACAAGAAAATAAACAAATGTAAACTTTCTGGTCCTTTCCGTCGTGTTGTCCCTTTACGTATAATGCACCGGTAAAATCGACACCAGTAACCGTGAACGGTGGCGCATCATTTACACGACAGTGTTGTAGTGGGGCTTGTATGGGCTGTTGATATGGTTTCCCGGTGATTTTTCTACAAGTCACGCATTGTCGTATAATTCTTTTCACGAGTTGGCGGATCTTTGGTATCCAGTATGTTTGTCGTAGATCTGTGACCGTGGATAATAATCCTGAGTGGAGCATGCGCGAGTGGGATTCCAACACAACGAGGATCGTATATCGATGTCCATATGGTAGGAGTATTGGAAATTTCGTGTTGTAGTCGAGAGGGGCATTATGTAACCTCCCCCCACAGCGGAGTAATGTATCATTGTCGAAGAATAAACCAAGTTGTCTGGTGAGGGTTGGCTTTCGGCGATGAGTGGTGACGTCAGCGCTAAACGCTTCACGTTGAATATCTCTTATCCACTTGGTTTCGGCTTTGCGTAATTCCTCAGCGGATACTGTACTAGACAGGGTACTAGATGTATGTTTGTCATTTCGAAGATTAGATACAAATCTTAGCACAAGAGCTGTTGTACGTAATAGCTTGTTTAAACTGCTAAATCTGTCGGCGTCTATGATGTGCTGTATCCCGACGTTAGTTGTCTCGTTCACAGTGGTAGTATCTTGAGCGGTATCGGTTTCCACAAAGGTATGCAGGACTGTACTATCAAATACAGGACATATTGGCCAATCGCCTTGCTTTAGCCAAGTAGGACCGCACCACCATAGTTCTGAGTGTTGTAGCCGGTGTGATTGTCCTTTGTTGGACAATACTTCATTGTCATGGGGAAGGTCTTTATTTCGTTAACGCGGTTAGTGACGAACAAAGGCAACTTCTTGTCACTCTTTAGCCAATGAAGAACGATCTGGCTGTCCGACCATATTATGTGTTTCGTAATGTTCACCGTATCTTTTAGTGCGTCGGATACAAATTGAATCAGTCTGGTGCCAATAACTGCTCCCATGAGCTCCAGGCGTGGTAATGTCTGTTTCTTTAATGGTGCTGCTCTGGTTTTCGACATAACAAGAGATGTTTGTTCTGTGTTGTTATTACGTAAATAAACAGCGGCACCATATGCCCTCGTACTTGCGTCTACAAAGACATGTAATTCGTGGTCGTCTTTACGGTCATAAACGTCCGAGAAATATTCTCTATTCATTGTAATGTTCGTAGCCGTTTTCAAATCCGTCAATATGGCGTTCCATTCATTTGTCAAATCGGAAGGTAAAGGTTCATCCCAGTCGAGCTTTCGTTTCCATAATTCTTGTGTAAATATCTTCGCTTTAATAACCACTGGTGCTAAATAACCGAAAGGATCGTATACGCTAGACGTTGCACTACTTACTTCACGTTTAGTTGGCAATATGGTTTTGTCATTTGAAATATTATTTGCGTAGGTAAGCTCATCCGACAATGTTTTCCAACGTAATCCGAGTATGTGTACCTCAGTGTTTAGATCAGCTACATTGTCGGCTTTAGTGAGATCACGTAATTGTTCGCAGTTAGAAGCCCATGACCTAAGATTAAACCCGCCAGATTTTAAAAGATCCTTCGAGAATTCATAGTATTCTATCACGTCCTTGATTTCAGATGTTCTTTTGTGATCAAGAGATTGTCCCAATCCACGTCGTCTTCACTGTTGAATTTCACAATCGTATCTTCGGCTTTCTTGAGTAGCTGGGTCATCTTTCCTCGGTAGGCTGGGCGAGTTCCTCTGGCAGACATGATCGTTTCCTTAAATCCTGGTCTCGGCACCAAAAAATGTGGGAATCGAAATTACAGGATAAAGGAGACGATCGATTAAGTCAAGGAAAGAGACTT